TCGGCGGCGCGATTATGCTGACTGGAAATCTGTGGAGGACGGAGGCTGGTGCGGTGCCGCTGCGTTGTCTTTGGGTCGACGCTGTAGACTGTCGAGTAGCAACTGGCGATCACTCAGATAGCGTCTGAAGGAAGGTCCGGCGACACGTTTTTTTGCAGCATATCTAGGAGGGCGGGTGGTGCCGCTTCTCTAAACCCGCGTGGTGTTCGTCGAGTCGCGGCGGTGTCGCGTTAGGTGCGTAGGGGTAGTGGGCACGGCTTGGGGTACTGATCGACACGTGATCGAGTTGAAGGCCTATGAACGCCACGTGGTGGGCTTTCGGGTCCGTAACAGATACGGAACGTGGTCACATACAGGTTATGATCAACACGTAGTCGATGTTGAGGTTATTATTGCTTCGTGGTAGAGTTGAGGTTATGATGGACGCGTGGTGCTAGTGTTTCAACATCGCCCCCTTAATTCCACAAACGCAACGACGACACCTGACCGGAATATTTATTTATCTATCCCAACTTCCTGACCAACCACTGTTATGTTTTTCTTGGGGACGATAAATGATTCGTTTGGAAAGTTTAAGCATAAAACGTTTATTGTATTCACAATACAAAATAGGTAAGAACGCGCGACAACTTATTAACGGTCACTCGGGAACACGTCGGGGAGAACGTCCGGCCGCTACGATTTACGGCAAACAATCGCTCTCCCAATTGAGCTTTTCCAAGTCATTTATCCACAATTTTGCATGTTACGAATTCATTGACAATAGAAAATTGTCTCAGAAGCTACTCGAAATTGAAATTTGGAAAATCTAATTAATTGTATTGTAAAATCTAATATTGGAGAATAGATTGCCTTAGGATATAAATCTCTAGCTTGTAGATTGAAAAGTCCCTGGGACATTTGAAAAGTTTTCCAAAATGGCGACAAATTGTTGATTAATTTTGACGTTTAATAGCGTTTTAAGATCGAAAAGGTCGCTTAATAGAATGATTCAGGTCACATTGTGTTAAAAACCCTAATTTTTTGCACAAATAGGAAAAATTAATATAAACTAACGGAGAAAGAGAAACTAATATAAGTTGGGAAGATATTACATTCGAGGACACTATTCCATTTAAAAAATTTAATTGGAAAATTGTCCTTGCAATGAAATTTCTTAACTACGAACTCGATCTCTTTAAAGTTTATTCAGAGACGTTTTTGTTACTCTCTTGGTCTTAACAGCTCGTTTTAAGAAATTTACGTCAATTCGTAACATTTTAAGATTTTCAAATGTATTCTTCTTTTTTCAGCTGGTTATCCAAATATATTTAATTTGAGTAAATATTTCCGCAAATAAACATTAAAATTTCTGTTTATATTATTAACAATATCAATTATTACAGTTTTGCAATTAATATCACTGGGAAGGGATAGCCGTTATCTTCTCAGTAGTGTAATAAGAAATTAGAAACTTTTGAAAAACATATGAAAAGTACTGACAATTATATTACAAATATTTTTCACTATTGCCAATGAGACGTCCTCTAGTTCTTTTCCATCGATTATCACTATAAAATGGTAACAATTGTAGACAGTAAGTGCCTAAAATTGAATTCCGAGATAAGACAGACTGTTTCAAAAGCTGTCAGGCCTTGACTGTTTCACAGCGTAGTGACGACAATTTGAACCACCTAAGAATGAGAATTTCAGATAGCCCATTTTACATTGCGCTTGACACCTACCACGCTTTTCGGCACAAAATACAAATTTTTGACGTTTTAGCACTTAGCCCGAGTTTCATTTATGCTCTACAATTTAAAAATTGTCTGAACACTATTAACAATTGCAATTTTGCTATAATAATTTACTTGCGGCATCCGATAGTGCTATTTAATTAACTAAATCACTGTTTGCCTGCACCTGCGTGTATAGAAAAGTGGGCGATTTCTTTTCCATGACGTGTAATAAAATGTGCGTTGCTTGCACTTCCATAATAAAGGTGTAGTAATATCTAAATACATTTTTTTTAAAACATGAACATGAATTTCAATATTCTTGATTGGAAATGGCTATATTATGTAAATGTATTATATTGTTCTGTGATTCCTACAAATAATTATGTAATAATTAGTGTTCCTTGCTGTAGAACGATTAAAATATTTAAATATTTTATAAGAAACAAATCTCATTTCTTCTATTAGTTTAATCTGACGTAAAATTCCTCACAATAATAAATACCATAAATTAGACTTAATTTTCACGGTAAAGAATTCGTTAAGAATTCCATTGCACTTCCCCGTGGCCGGCTGCCGCGTGATTCGTTAGCGTCCACAAGGCTGACAGGGCCAGCGTCCAGTGCAATTGGCGGGTTGGCTCTCGCGCCCGCGCCTTCTGTTTCGCTTGCGCCTTCTCTTACCTCCTCTTACCCGACGTCATTTACACCAATGCGAGAAATTTCTCCGCCCCTATGAGATAACGAGGAGGAAAATCTTCGAGGGGAGGGAAGGGGGAAGTGTCTGAAACTTGAAGCGAAAGCAAAAGCCAGTGATAAGCGCGACTTGGCCTAGACGCCAACATTGGTCAAGTGTCCAGCGATAGTTGTACAAGCAGTTGAAAAGTCAGATTTGGCTGCGTAGAGCATCACCCATATATTGTAACATCGATGGTTCATTAAAAAAAAGTGGATTTGTGTCTATAATTAATGTAATTTCTAAACAAAATTATTTCTAAAACCGTTCAACATTTTTTCTTTAAATTTGATCCCCGTGTTATCACGGGACGAAACAAATTATGGTACTCGTCCCCATATTCAAACCTTACCACCGTCCTTCTGTAGCGTAGTGGTACGGCTGTCGGCGAGTTAACTCGAGTCTCGACGCAGAAAGAAAATTGCTGGATGAAAACACTTTTAGATGTTTATTTGTAGTTTATAATATGACGGAACACTCAGAAATAATGCGAGAGAATATATGCTGTTTTAGCACCACTAGTTGAAGTATATCGTTAATATTTCATTACGGGCATTTTCTTTACATTCTTGCATTTGTGAACGCAGTCTTTCCCTAAAATTCAAAACTTGTGTGAAAATAAACGCAAAATGGCTCATTTTTGTTCAATCAACATTTTCTCAAGAACTGCCCCAAATTTTTCACTGAAATTTTGTATGTAGGACTATGTTACTCTTCTGTAATAGTCTTGAAGACATGTTTTAATTATACTAATGAGATTCGAAAAAATTGAGAAAATGTTACAAAATTTCGTTTTGACACCAATAGGTAGCAGCTGGGGAGAGGGTGGGACACCATGGGCAATGTAGCCTAAAATAAGAAGATAAAAATCTAACTAGTGTGAGGAAGTCTGTGTTCCAGTTCTTAAATGTATTTCGAGGATTAATATTGGGTCAAGATGAAGTAACATAAAAAGGTAAAACCTCGAATTTTGATTCACATGTAGAGACGGCAAAGTAATTATATTTAGCTTAGAAAGATTGTTTGGGAAGTTTGTTCCCATTTGGGAAGGTTGTTCCGTGTTTTATATTTCATTTTTAACATTGTAAGTCGGATATCTTTCTGATTGTTCAATGTGCAGTTCTCCTTGTTCTTCAGTGGAGTAAAAGAGCAGTAAAAGCGCCTGAGCGCGACTGTGCTCTGACTGGGTGCGCACGAGACCCCAGAGAGAGCGCTCGACGGGCGCACTTCGATTTCAAAATGATATCATATACATCGATAGTGCTAAAATATCTAGAATATTGAATATCATTAAATGGAAAATGTATAATCCTAACATATTATAAGAATGTTTTCGATTATCTGGAGGTTGTGCAATCGTACATCCTGAGCACAAGCTGCCAGAGTAACTGATACTTTTTTACACATTAAATTTGAGATGGGAAAAATCCCAGTTCATTTTTATTTAGCCAGGTACAACATAAAATGCAGTCAGAGGAAATGTGGCACAGGTACAAACAACTGGAAACTCGTTTGCCACTACAAATTAAGTGATCATTTGTGACTCAGCATAAACTCCTGAGAAGGACGTCTTGATTATGTTACCTACTAATATAATTTTGAAGCTAATTCCTTTTTCCTGGAGTTCTAATTACACATACATTCTCCATGTATGTTGTATATCCTCTTCTATCTATATCCTCGGTTATTATTTTTCATCAAGAGGCCTGTGAAAATGTGTAGTGTATTGTACTTGGTCTGCATAATCATGTGACTAGTCACCATTAAAATAAAATTATGTGTCTAATTTTGCCTTTTGGTTTTACTTATTAAGTGAAACCGTTTTTACTTATTTTTAGTTTATTGGGATATTATTTTTAAATTTTCTCACGGTATAGAAAAGATGTATAGACAGGTGTCCTAACAATAGGTACAGAAAAATTATAACTAAGGACTGGTCTCATTACAGCAATACAAAAATATAAAACGTCTCTGAAAGGACACTAAGAATGTTTCCAAGTTTTCAGGAGTGATTGCTCTGTCAAGTTTCCTGTGACAATTTTTGTTTGCATTGCACAATTTCCCTTTGCAAACTTTCCCTAAATTAAAGTTGTATGGATTATAAAATTAATCTTATTACTTTTGAACTTGAGCTATTTGTATTTACTTGTACTAATTGTTCATGCTTGTGCTACATTTTCATTTCAGTTATTCATTAAAGCTAGTATTTAAATGGGTGAAAACCATGACGGTGTAAGTGGCATTTCATAAATTCTGAGACATCTGTTTATGTCTATATCACTGTAAAGTCGTGGTGCTTTGTTGCAACATTTCAATTGTTCATTAAAGCCACGAAAATACATTGCCACTGAAATATAGCCTAAAATAAACACGTTTTTCTCGGAATTTATAAAATGTCACTTATACCGTTCTGGTTTTCACCCATTCATTTATATTCCTTTATAAAATGTATGCTGGCTTGCATGTTAAAGCAATGTCAAAGTAAATTATTGAGAATGCTTGAAGTTTTCTCATGTTTTTATTTCAATTGAAATGATTTTCTATGTGTAGAAGCGTGCGTTTCGACTGCAACAGGCTAAGCAGCGGGAAGCTTTGACACGAACTCAACAACGTGAGGAAAGACTGTTGCATGAACAGTCTCTTATTGCTGAGCCAGTGCGTTCCAGTCCAGCTCTAGGCAGCACTTCAGGTCTTCCTTCTAGCTCAGACATTTCTTTTGAAGTCTCTACTACCAATGCTCATGGACAGCAATAATGATGGCAGCAGTGAGATGGACGTGATGCCAAAACAACTGAGCTGCTTTACATCTCCATTTTATTTGCAGAGGACATTGCCCTCCAATACAATCACCTGGAATAGAAGAGTACAGTTCTTATGTCGGTAAAGTCAGGAAAAACATTCTAAGAAATTTGCTTCCTGATGTTTGTTTCTCTGGCTCACTAATGAATGTATTGTTCAAATACAAATCTATACAGTGCCTGTGGGATCTTTTCTTTTGTTTCATTGGTCAGTGTTTTCACAGACACAATGAAAAATTATATGTAAGACTTTGCACAAAAATAGACATAAAATCGGATTTTCGTGTTTGGAGATTTTTTGTGGACCTAAAATTGAAGTAAGGTTCAATGCATATTTTTAAAAAGTTCATGCATCTGGATGCAATATTAAAAATGAAACGGTAACTTGAAAAAAATGCTCCGAGAAAAAACGATTTAAGATTTCACTAGTAATATTCATTCGAAAGAAATCCTTTCAATGTAATCTATTTTGATAAAAAAGCGAACTGCGTTTTGTGTCCTCCAAAAGGCTTGTCACACGAGCGTTGCGTTGACGCGCGTCGTAGATTAACACTGTATGGTAGAATGTGGAACGGCCAAAGCGCTCATGTACAGTTTCGTGTAAAATACAGAGTAATTCGAGGACTCACGTTACTTAACGCGCTTCAACGCAACGCTCGTGTGTGTGGGATCCTGACTGAGTTCGTTTAGAAGACCCATCAGTAGCATCAGATGTCAGAATCTAGAAATATAATTTTTACACCCCAGACTTTGTTTAGCTCTCCTGTCAATTTCCATTGCCAACTTTGGGCCAGTTTCTGCACAATGGTTGACATATTTTTGTTCAGAAAGTTTTTCTTTAGTTACACAAAAAGTGTAAAATTTGAAATCTTATTTTTTATTATGGAAAACGTAAATCTAGAAGTTGTCAATATACTTGTTTTATTTTAACATTTTATTTTATCAAGTTATTTTGTTTATTATTTTGTTGGGTTCATTATTGGTTCAAATGTAAAAGTATTCTGGTGGATCATTCAAATCAGATGTAAGGATCATCAAACAATGTTTTTCCCCCTTGGAGTAATAGTGTACAAAAATATAAATCCGTGAGTTCTGTTTCGTAGTCGTTAATGCAGCTGTTGAATTTGTTTACAAAATTAAACATACAATTTCCATTAAATTCAGTGAATTTCATTTCTAGTCGAGATTGTTTACTGTTTCACCGTTTTATAAGATGAGTTACAACTGTGGCTATGAATATTCACTCACACAAGTTTTAACATTAAACAAATAATTTACTTTGTTCTTCACTCTCAGAAGCGTCTTTAAGAAATTCCTTATATAAATCTCAAATGCTTATTTCTGAAGTCAAGATGGTCAACGCTCTGATAGAATGAAAGAATCGTGTAAGTATCATGGTATTCATCTGCCTGGAAATATCAATGATGTGCTATAGGATATTAATTTTCAGGAATAAAGAAATATTTTATCCACAAATTCTGCTTCACAATTTGAAAACGCCTTTAACCCGTTAAGAAACTAGCGTAATTATCACACAAACATCTATGTAAATGACAATTTTTACCAGAAGTTTATTTTTGGAAAAGAACTGACGTCTTAATTTTATTTCACTAATTTTAAATTTAATATTACATACTCTTACAGATTCACTCTATTTGGGGTCAATTAAAATGCATCTTGATGTATATAAAATTTAATAGGTAATAAATATATATAAATATATGTATCAGAATAAACGTTTTATAATTCTAGGATACGTAGAAGGTTGAAGATGATCAGTTTCTGCCAATAAACATATGAGAAATTTCATATAACTAAGTTGCACTTATGACATTTACCCGTGATTTTTAGGCTGCTACTCATGCTCTGGTGTTTTGTAGATAAACGGCCGGCATCGTTAGCCAAATTGCTTAACTATGCTCCTCTCTCTCTCTCCCTCTCTCTCTCCCTCTCTCTCTCCCTCTCTCTCTCCCCCTCTCAGCACACGCACACTTACTTGCTCTACACTACCACACATGCCGGGAGACCGGTTGGTAGCTTATAGCTTGTCCCGGCCAGGGCGGTGCTTCGCAGGCGAGAGATACCTGTTTAGGGAAAACCCGGCTAGCCGACAAGTAGGTCGGAGCCGGATCTCACCATCCACAGGGGAAGATCACCGGCACTTCCCGAGGAAAAGCTGTTGACGCGGCTGTTGATCCGTGATTAATCATTCAACTACGCCCCGTGAAGTCACGGAAGTCGATTAAAGACACCATGGATTCCGAGATGGGTGACCGTCAGGAAACCCCGGTTACTAACGGCACTTGGCCGAAGGGATAAAAAAGGTTCGACTGACTGCGAAGTTACGAGGCAAAATACAAATTACTGAACGGCGTATTACTTCAGTGTATTTACGCTTAATGCCTCAAAAGGGCTTACGTGTTGCGGAAGTCGCTACGAATTTAAAAACAAACAAAAGCGAAGACTATTCGACTCCCAACAGAATGTGACCTGCATGAGAAGTTGCCGAACAAACAGGGGCAATTATCTTGTGTATTTTCCATTCCATTATCTAAGATACATGCAATTTCCTTCATGTTCATTGGTAAAGTGTTCATCGCTGTCCCCTGTACGTGTTCTCGAAGTTTACATTTATTTTGAAACATTGTATGTATATACATACACATACATACATATAGATGTCTCAGAATAAATGTCGAACGTCTCAGAGGAAACGCATGTTTTCACTACTGAATAAACGTACGCTAATTTATTTATAGAAAAAAGTTTTACATTAAATATTTTTATTGCATTTTTAAAATTTACATACATTAGTAAGGTTTGGAAAATGGTCTTTAAGATTTCCTCGAATGCAAATTCGTAGTCTCTTCTCAAACCTCTGCACGACTTTCTCCAACTTTTCATTCGATACAGCTTCAATGTCTTGACGAATGGAAATTTTCAAGCCATCGATTGTGCAGGGCTTGGTTACGTACACTCTTGATTTCAGGTGGCTCCACAAAAAGAAGTAACAGGTCAATAGATTGGAAGAGCGAGGGGGCCAAGAAATATCGGCGAATCTTTAAGTGACATATTCAGTGACGATTTCTGGAGCTACTTCCATGGGTAGTTTTGGTTTGGCCTTGAGAGACGCCGCCCCCTAGGCACAGTTCCAAATGTTTCCGCCGCCAGTGCGACTTCCCTCATGTGAAGGGGAGAGGTATCGCAGTATGTAGATGAATTTATTGACTTCGGTCGTGGAATCCTGCGATTTTACCTCCATGGATGATCTCATCGTGTGGCGCTATTTTGTTGGAACCACCTTTCTCTCCTTTTTACTCGATGCCTTTCCGGTTCTGGACGCAGGAAGTTGTTGAAAATTTCGATCTAGCGCACTGTCACAATATCTACGGTTGCGCCATATTGAAAAAACTAAAGACTAATAATCCCTATCTAGGAGCCACCGAGCCACACTGTTACTTTCGAGACGTGGAGAGGATTTTGGTGTAGTTCACGTGGGTTCTCCGACACTCAGTACCGACAGTTCTGAACATTAATATAGCGTTCTAGGTGAAAACAGGCTTCGTCACTCATTATTAGGACATCTTCCATAAGAATGGCGTCCATTATGCCACAAGATTCTTTGTATTACATGTAATCCTTTAAATGTAACTGCTAGACGATAATTAATGTGCGTGAGTGAAATTTGAGATGATAATTTAAGATGCGATAGTTAACGATGTGACATATGCAATGTTAAAGCCTGTCGCCTAGCCGATTGTTTTGGACTAGCAAGAACTGCCCTTCTTACTCGGTTAATATTTCCCAGAGTTCGGACGAAAGACCTAGTGGCCTTAAACCTGAGTAAGGTGTTTCAATCTGGGACTGCACCTCGACGTTCAAGATTAAAAATTTTGTCGGAAAAAACGTTGAATCGTGACTACAGAATCATTGTTCCTGAACCACTGCTCGACAGCAAACGCGTTTCCTCTGCTCCACTCTGTTTCATACACAGCAAATAGTTCGAGAATAAAAAGGTATCTTACTGTGGGAAGAATTTAAATGTGTACAATAAAATGTTTTCATTGGTACGTATAAACAATGTATAATTTATAGTGTATTAATAGTTGATCATGAAAAGTGTATAAATTATGAATCCTTTCAAAAATTGAGCTTTTTAAATAGAATTTCTACCATAATAACTAATATATTTTGTTCTCAATTTGTTACCCTTCTGCATACTTCTTGCTAACCCCACCACCTCTGTTTGTAATAACCCGTAAACTTGCGAATACCCTCTCTTTTCCAGATAAACGTTCTAAATCAACCTCTCCACTCTCTCTCACTCTCACTCTCACTCACACACACACACACACACACAGTGGCGAACCCAGCCGATCATTTTTTAGTGGAGGAGGTATTATAGATTTTTGTTAAATAATAAACGTATCTATTATTATATTGTATATTATTTTTGTAGTGTATATGATACTACACAATATCCTTTTTTACATAATTACACAATTCCAACAAATATTTAAATCAATTTTGCTAAATAAAGGGAAGTAACGAAAACTCTAGGGCTGTAGTGCACCCCCATCCCGGCGGCCGATGGTGTAGTGGTTAGCGTATCGGACTGTTATACCCAAGTTGGCAGGTACATAGACGCCGTATATTTTTAAGGGCGAAAAAATCCTTCGGAGGGGAAGTAAAGTATACATACCGGATGTTAGTAGATTTACTTGCATGTTAAAGATCCTCAAGCCTAAATGAAGCCTCTGAGCTAAATTCAAATCGCTTCTTTCTCTGCTAGTTGGTGAAAGGAGCGTGGTGAAATTTGCGTGATGAGACGGAAGAGCGGGTCTGATGGCCCGAGTATCGCCACGTAAAATAAGGCATTAATTTAATTCAGTTCAAATCAAATCCCCCTCAGCACACA